GCCACGCGTCGCTACCAAAATGGATCGAGAGCTGAGGCGTCCGCAGCCAGACGCCTCGGGGGACGCTTGGGGCTCGGATGCCCGGGCTCCTATTATTATAAATACGGACCCTCCCCTGTCATGAACCATCATCACACCAGCAACAGTTTTCTGTCTTTCTCGGGTTTTACACCCCTTTTTTACAGTTTTTTTATTTTAGTAGTTTAGGAATATTTTTAGGAGTACTCTGGAGCATTTGTCGCCCAAACCTCTTTTCGAAGATTTTGTGCTATCATTCTGCTTGTCCGGAAACGGTAAGTAGATCTCTCTTAATATTATGCCATTATTTTAGTTCATTATTTCCATAGTATGAGTTAATTAATATAGAAATATTTAATTAACTTTTTATTGAGAAAATATTTTACGCCAAAAGGCTGAATTATTCAAGATCTGTTTAGGGTAATCACGAATCTAGAAATAGATGAGTGGTAGTAGAAATACGATTTTTCCAATCATTATTTTAATTAATTTAAGTAAACCAAAATGATGTCCTGGCCCTAGATCCAATTCCTACTTGTACTATGTGAATAAATTTATTTTCTTGTATTTATTATTTCTTTTTCCCCTTTTATTTTCGCATCGAGAAGACTTCTAAAACCAATCCAAATCTTCGCCTAACTAGAGAATTTGAATTAATTCCCCTCGTCCACTCCTCTAGAGAACGACAACTCGGGGATAAAACTAACCCTTTACTGGGAGGGTTTATACTCCAAAAAACTACTCGATCATTATACCAATAGTCGCATTAAGGACACTTAGGCAATGTCCTTAAGGTGGGTCAGGTCTGGAATCCTATTATTAACGATAATATCTGCCCGAGAGTAGATGTGAACACTCCGTCATTGACCAAGAGACTAGGTCAAACATCTAACTCTCACTAGTCTCACACGCATTAACGATATCCTTCTCTCGTTAATGCTTCGACTATACACCGTTCAGAATTATACTAAGTGACAAGATGTCAGTCTCAACATCAGAAGACTCATTCTGATAAACATCTTATAATATAATTCTAGGAATGCAATTAAGAGTTTACATTAGCATGAGACGTTTGTAAACTTAATGCATCTTCCTTTACATGATAGAAAATATATAAGATATTACAACAGCAGTTGGCCATAAGGGCACCAACTCCAACAATCTCCCACTTGCACTATGGCCAATCTGGCATCGGTCGAATGCCCATTGACCTAGTGTGACCCTCATGCTTTAGCTTTCCCAAGGGAAGGTCAGGGGGTCGGCTATGTTTTCGTCTGTTCCTACTTTCCAAATCTCCACATCACCTCTGTCTACGATTTCTCGTATGATGTTATAACATCGTACAATGTGCTTGGTCTGTTGGTGAGATCGTGGTTCCTTTGCCTGTGCAATGGCCCCAGTGTTGTCGCAGAACTACGAGATTGGGTCATTAATGCTAGGAACCACTCCAAGTTCAGAAATGAATTTCTTTATCCAAACACCTGACTTTGCTGCTTCAGCAGCAGCCATGTACTCAGCCTCTGTAGTTGAATCGGAGGTTGTGTCCAGTTTAGAACTCTTCCAGCTAAAAGCTCTGCCATTCAGGCAAAACACATACCCTGGATTCCCCTGGTATCTGTTGGTCACGCTTAAAGCGAATGAGACATCAGGTCTAGTACATATCATGGCATACATGATGGAACCAATTGTAGAAGCATATGGGACCTTCATCATGAGTTCCTTCTGCTCGGGAGTAGAAGGACTCTGGCTCTTGGAAAGAGTCGTGCCAGGTAACATAGGTAAGGATCCCTTTTTCGAGTTAGACATGCTAAATCGATCAAGGACCTTATCTATATATGTACTTTGACATAGACCTATCAACTTTCTAGACCTATCACGGTTGATTCTTATGCCAAGGGAATAACTAGCATTCCCCAAGTCCTTCATGGCGAAGTTCTCGCTCAACCAAGTCTTTACAAATGTAAGAGCAAGAACATCGTTACCCATTAACAATATGTCATCGACATATAGGATTAGGAATACTATCACACTCCCACTAACCTTCTTGTAAACACAAGACTTGTCAGAATTCTTCTCGAAACCAAAACTAGTGATGGTTTCATCAAAGCGTATATACTAACTCCGAGATGCTTGTTTCAATCCGTAGATTGACCGTTGCAGCTTACAGACTTTGGCAGATTCACCAGCAATTATAAAACCGTCAGGCTGTGTCATATAGACATCCTCTTTAAGGTTCCCGTTAAGGAAAGCTGTTTTGACGTCCATCTGCCAAATCTAGTAATCGTAGAACACTGCAATCGCAAGCATTTTCCGAATGGACTTCAGCATCACAACTAGAGAAAAGGTTTCGTCATAGTCAATTCCGTGGATTTGTCTATAACCTTTTGCTACCAATCTAGCTTTGAAGGTATGAACCTTTCCGTCTACGTTTGTTTTCTTTTTGAAAATCCACTTGCACCCTATGGGTTTTATCCCTTCGGGTGCATCAACCAAGGTCCAGACTTGGTTTGTGTACATAGACACCATTTCAGATTTCATGGCATTAAGCCATTCTTCAGATTCGGGGCACGTGATTGCCTCGAAGTAGGTCTCTGGTTCGCCTTGGTCTACCAGCAAGACGTCACCTTCATCAGATACAAGGAAGCCGTATCTAACAGGAGGATTACGCATCCGGTCTGACCTACGTGGTAAAACCTGAGCCGGTCGAGATACTAAATCTTGATGCTCGAGTTCCACTGCTATTGAGATCTCTTCTTGTGGTTCTCGAATTTCTTCGAGGTCTACCTTTCTCCAACTAGAAATAGCAGAGAGAAACTCTTTCTCAAGGAAGGTTCCGTTCCGAGCAACAAAGATTTTGTTATCGGTCGGATGATAGAACTCATACCCTTTCGTTTCCTTAGGGTATCCCACAAATTTACACCTGTCAGATTTGGAATCTAGCTTACCAAACGTCATGAGGTGTCTAACGTAAACATCACAACCCCAAATCCTCAAGTACGACAAATTTGGTTTTGTCCCACGCCATAGCTCGTATGGTGTGCTCTCAACAGCCTTAGATTGTACGCGATTGAGTGTGTGTGCTACTGTTAATAGTGCTTTTCCCCAAAAAGACTCTGGTAATGTTGTCAGACTCATCATACTCCGAACCATATCGAGCAGCGTTCGGTTTCTCCTTTCAGACACTCCATTTAATTGGGGTGTACCGGGAGGAGTCAGTTGGGATAGGATCCTGTGCTCTTTTAGATAGTCATCAAACTCCAGGCTTAAGTACTCACCTCCTCGATCCGAGCGGAGGGTCTTGATACTTTTGCCTAACTGTTTCTCTACTTTGTTTCTGAATTCTTTGAATTTGTCAAAGCATTCCGATTTGTGTTTCATCAGATACACATATCCATACCGACTGAGGTCGTCAGTAAATGTTACGAAGTATGAGAAACCACCTCGTGGCTAGTCCAGTCCTCCGAGAGACTCTCTTGAAAGTCCTACTAATCTTCAAGCTTCAACGGGTGCTTGAAAAAACCGGTACAACTTGAGACCTTGAATCACACAAGCCTCACTTTCTTACAACACCTAGACTTGAGTCACACAAGTCTTAAGAACAACACTCAAATAAGATTGAGTTTACAACACAAGAATGAAAGCTCACACAATTGAGCAAAGTAGTGTTGATGAGGAAGAAGAAGCAAGGGATGAATATAGCTCAATGAATATTTGGAGTGCAAGAGTTGTGTATTGAAAATGAAGGTGAAGGAGGATTAAATAGGCCGAGATAAAATAAATCCGTTGGAGCAGGCTGAAAATATGCACCAGATAAAATTAATCGATTAACTTAAAATGTTAAATCGATTACGGTACACAGAGGCGAAAAATCCTAAAAGGGAGCGCAAAACTAATCGATTAAAGAAAGCTTAAAAATCGATTAGTCGGCTCTGTTCGAACTAATCGATTAACTGAAGAGGAAAAATCGATTATCGTTCAGGCCAGGGAATCCAACGAAAAAGACAATTAATCGATTAAATAAGAGAGAAAAATCGATTAACTCCAAGACCTGAGAAACGCGTTGTGAAAGTAAATGGATCTATTCGATTATTTAGAGTACTTAATCAATTAAAAAGAAAATAATGCGCAAACACAAAGGGCCCAAGCCAAGTGCGATTGGAAGCCCTTTGGCTTCTAAATCGTTGTTTGGGACAACGGGAATAACGGACGCTCCTCAAAGATAATATCTCATATTCAATGAATTTGAGTAGGGGAGAGAAAAAGAGTCCAAAATTATTTTGTGTGCCAAACGATGTACAGGAAAAATATTTAAAGTATATTTTTCTTACCAAAAAAAATTTGTGTATCCTTAAAAAAATGTTTTTAAGAAATTTTGACACACTTATTTTGAAACTGACTCAGTAAAATATTTTTAGACAGAGAAAAAATTATTTTTCAACTGACTCAGAAAATAATAAATTTTATCCCTCAAAAATTAATTTGTTTATGCAGAAAGTATTGTCATCCTTACAAAAATTCCTAGACTCAAAAAAATAGAAAGTCTTCAGAGTCTTCCCTTCTCTTCAAAAAAAATCTGCGTAGGGATAAGCGTTGATTTTATCTTGATACGCCTCTTTGCTTTTCTCGATACGGAAAATAAATTTTCGATCAGGTTGAATTTAATCATCATGTTTGTCATTTATCAAAACAAAAAATATTCCAGAATAATAATAAAGGGGTTTGAACTCATGTCCAACAATTTCCCCCTTTTTGATAATGACAAACATAGTTGAGAAAAAGCAAAGTAGGAGTCAAGAAGTACTTCCCTCAAAATAATTCCTCGTGCATGGTTAGAGAAGTGCAGTAAAAAAAATATCGGAGTAATAAGTAGAAAAACGTTTTTGAAAAACACATTTTCTCAACTATCCTTCCTTCCCCCTTTTGGCACTATCAACCGATATCCTTCCCCCTTAATCAATGTCGGGATATTAAAGGATAGAAAAAAAATTTGCAAGAGTTTCTTTAAAAAGAGAACATCTAACAAGAAAAACACAAAGGGATAATATGTTCTAAAAGAGAACCATATTGCCAAGCCAACCAACAAATATCAATAATAACTAGCATAATCCAAAGCAATATCATCATCCACCAAAAGAGTTATAAAAACAATAACCATAGCAAATAACAATGTATCATAATAAGTCAAGACAGAAGGTAATATAATCAAAGAGAGTTCGCCGGACGAGCTCCTCCACTAAAGCAGTGACGCGGGACACGGTAGGAGCGGGATTGCTCAACACGAGTCATCCTCTCGTTGAGCTGGCGAACGTCATCTCGGATGCACGTGAGAGTATTAAAGATCCTCTTCACCCAAGAAGGTTCTAGTGCTTCTTCTCTTGGACGAGTCGTGCATTGGTGAGTCACGCGCTGCGTGGTTCGACTCCCTCCAGCCTGAGATGACTGAGCTTCTGTCTCTCTCTCCTCTTCGTCTAGAATGACCAGTTCCAGATTTTGCTCAGTTTCCTCGCGGTAGACATTTCGGGTAAACTTGGCTTCCGTGATGATGCAAGTCTTCTTCACCGGCACCTGAGTTTCCCGAGTAAAATCCACTTTGCTATGAGCAAGGATATGCATGATCGGGATGGCAAAACGGAGATGAGAAAAACGAGTACCATCACTAAGTGCAACGACAAAGAAGTGAACCCAATCAAATTTGACATTGTTTAACAGGACATGAAACAAACGAATATCGTCCTTGTTGACAACGCCATAGGAGAAGATGTATTGTTGAATGCGTTGAATCAAATTGAGGTTAATGACACTCGGGTTGCTAGAATTTCTAAACTTGAGGTCACGATGATCTAACCCGAGTTGTCGCCAAATTGCCTCATCTTGGAATGCTTCATCCAAGTTTTCGGTAATTTCACCTCGGCGAAGGCCAAAAAGAGAGGTCAAACCAGCACCATCAATTTCAATGTTTTTGTCGTCAACAAAGGAGACGAGAGATAGCGAGTCTACCTTAGTGGTACGAAGATTTGCATAAAATAGACGTATAAGATTTGGACAAAAGAATTCATACGTCAAGTGAATGAAACGAAGCAAACCTTTCTAAGCGAAAAGAGACTTACTCGGGGCATAGGTCGCCGGTTTGAAGAGGTCCTTGTCCACAATCTTCGGTGAGACGATCTCCTTTGTGAGAAAGTTGTTGTGGAACCTCTCGACTGAAGCTCCCGTTCTGAAGACAAGCCCGGTTTGAATGTGGATGTATTTGCTCCCTTCTTTACGCCATGGACGTTCCCCTTCTTTCGCCGCCGCTATTTCTTGTCGCGAGGCAATGTTCTTGGTTCTTGGCATCTTCCCTCTTTGAATTTGATGAACTTTGGTGAAATTTGGTGAGGAAATTGTTGAGGAAAATCGAAAAAGGAATTGAAAGGGAAGAGGCTAGGGTTTCGCCGCCAGGCTGAGTTCTGAGAGAAAATGGAGACGAAGACGAAGGCAGTGCGTTTTTAAGAGACGGGAAACAAATAATAATCGATTAAATGGATTGGATTAATCGATTAGAGCGTACAGACGGGTCTAATCGATTTTATGATAAATATTAATCGATTAAAAGTTCAAGCTGAAGCCAAAGGAATTGCGCTGATGTATATAATTGATTAGAAGTAGGTCTTTTAATCGATTAAGGGCCTATTCTTTAGGACTGGAAAAAAAGAGCTAGAACTGGAAGAAACTGGAAAAAATTAAAAGAAATTGAAAAAACTAGAATAAATTGTAAACTCTAAAAAAAGTTTTTTTAAAAAAATTATTCTCATTCTGATTCTTGTTGATATAAATTATTATTATTACTATTATTATAATAATAATTATTGTTGTTGTTGTTGTTGGTGGTGGTGGTAGTGGTGGTGTTATCACATATATTAAATAGTTTCCTAATTTTTCATATAGATTAATATACAAAAAAATGGTATTATTCATATTAAAAAGTTGAAGAAAAAAAATAATGAATGTGAATCATAATAATATACTTGGTCCGTCCTTGAGTGTTTGTCCACTTTTGACTTTTGGAACTGTTCATCTAAGCACTTTGACTCATCAAATTCTCTCAATATGTAAGCCTAAAAATAGCCATGTGTGATCTTGTTTGATTTGTCTTAACATATAGATTATTAATATATAATTTTTATAATTTTTTAATATACAAATTACAAGATAAAATAGATTTAAAAAGTGCATTGGATGGTGTGCAAAAATGAAAGTGGACAAACACTCAGGGATGGAGGAAGTATTTTTTTAGAGTGATTTGTCAGAAGGTAGACAGAATTTGAAGAAAATAAATATAGTTGGAAGAAATTAGAAGAAACTGGAAAAAACTAGAATAAACTGGAAGAAACGGGAAGGAACTAGAAGCAACTAGAAAAAACTGGAAGAACTGGAAAAAACTGGAAGAAACAGGAAGAAACTGGAAAAAAACTAGAAAGAACTGGAAGTTAAGAGTTCAAGTCCTAAAAAACAGGCCCTAAGCTGGACAGGCGCGTCTAATCAATTTCTCTTCGAGGAGTAATCGATTAAAAACTGCTTGACAGAAAAAATCATCAAGTCCAATTTAAGTTTGATACTAAGGGCCAAGATACCTGAAAGGCCCTGCAAAAAAGAATTTATCGCGCCTCCGACGCTTAAATTAGTATAGTCAATAACAAGAATGAATTAGTTCATAGAGATATCCAAAATGCCAAGTTCGTTCCAAATGAGGAAGAAACTCTCCCTACTAAGGGGTTTCGTGAAAATGTCTGTCAATTGATGTTTCGTTTCAACAAACTCAATTGTGACATCTCCCTTTTGGACATGATCTTGTATGAAGTGATGCCTAATTTCTATGTGTTTAGTCCGCGAGTGAAGAACGGGGTTTTTCGTTATACTAATAGCACTCATATTGTCACACCTAATTGGGATGTGATCAAGTTTAAGGCCGAAATCCACTAGTTGTTGTTTTAGCCAAAGATTTTGGGCACAACAACTTCCCACAGCGACATATTCCGCTTCGGTGGTGGAGAGTGCAACACTAACCTGTTTCTTACTAAACCACGAGATTAACGAGTGACTGAATAAGTGTCAAGTACCGCTGGTACTTTTCCTATCGAGTTTGCAACCTGAAAAATCCGAGTCGCAATAGCCAACAAGATGACATGTCGAACCTTTGGGATACCAAAGACCTACGTTCAACGTGCCCGCGAGATATTGCATTATCCTTTTGATCGCAACCAAGTGCGACTCTTTAGGACATGATTGATATAGTAGCGCATGGTGGTTCCAAAGTGGTGAGATACAAAGTCTAGAGGGGGGGGGGGTGAATAGATTTTGTTACAAATTTTAAATACTTTTTCATTTCTTTTGAAAACGTGAAAATGAGTGTTGATCTAGAGTTCTTGTGAACTTTTGATTGTGCGCGGAATTTGGTGGGTAATGAGCAGTAATCAATATGGATGGGTTAGTTTTCACAGTTAATATAATTGCAAGCATGAGCAAAGATAAAAGAGAGAGACACGCAAACTTTAACGAGGTTCGAAGGTGGGGTAATCCTTCTACGTCCTCAAAATCCACTATGTAGTTGGTTGTTGAATAATGAACCAACAATTACAATTGTGTGAATTTCTGCACGGTATATCTTCGCAAGGCCAATGTTGCTACTGCACTCCTGCTGGATTTGTTGTTCCATTGAAGGTCACGCTTCTTCAACAAGTACAAGATCTGAACAATAGGACTTGCAATATCAACATGTAAGAGAGTTGATCTACCCCCTTTTAATCAAGAAGTTTGATTAAAAGTTGTATCCTTCAACGTGGTGTGGTACTTGAGGCAAGGAAACCTTCAAGTGTTTACACTATAGCTCTTTGGAAGGAGGAGAAGTTTGCTTCCAGATAAGGAGTTTAGGAATCTCTCTTTATCAAGCTTTTGGCTAACTGTGAATGAGATAGCTTTTGATGTAGTTTTCTTCGTTGTATGTATTTCCTGCTTTTTTATCTCATGTCTTCTCCAGTCTTCCAAGGATGCTATTTATAGCTGGATTGGGTAATCTATCCGTTGAATCAAAATAGACTATCCGTTGCATTTGCTGGCTTCAATTTTGAATGAAGATTGTCATTGAGGATTCCTCATTGGAATGGGTGTTTGGACATACCCAATTGTTTGAGGAGTGATTCCTTTTTCCACAGAATCCGTCTTCTAGCTGTTGTTCAAGAATTCTGGACTGTAGCTCTTTACTCAGTTTGTCTTCTAGTGCTTGTTTAGGAATTCTGGACGAGCTCTTTAATTTGAGAGGTCCAGGCTTTGTCTTCAAGTCATTTGTTCTTGAATCAGCTTAATTATTTTCAATCTAGCCGTTGAAGATCAAGAGATTGATTTTTCGTTACCAACGGGTAGAATTTCTTCATTCAGGACTTAGATAATTTTCTAAGTTTTTTCTCACTTGTTCGCTTTTGAGAGTTCCGGTCTTTCTTGAGACATCCGGTTCTTTCGCTGACAAATTCGGAAGAGTCATTCATAGACTTCCGGGTGAGAAAGAGATCCGCGCTAGTCTTCCGATTTGGAAGACTTAGTCTTCAGCGGGTTATGGCGAGACATCCGGTTATCACGTAGTGTTCCAGATTAGATGATCTTCATCTACTTTGAGAAATCCTTACTTGTCTCTGATATTTCCGATCAAGATATCCAATTTCCATATCACTGAATTTGATTAAGTCTTCAAATATCAAACCACTTAGTGAAATATCACAACTTTATTGGAAATCTCAAGAACTCGGTTTTAACAATATTTCTAAAAAGAAAAATTACATTGAATATTGGGGGAGACCTAAAGTCCCTATTACAATCTAAATACATCATCATCAAAATCTATAATATTTCTCAACAATTTCCCCCTTTTTGATGATGACAAACAAGTGTTTAAGAGTTCCGGTCGCTGTACTGAGAACTAATTTTATAACTTTCTTTTAGTTTCTCATAATATACAGCTTGTTAACAAAAACTCTTAAACAAATACAATTAAAAATTACAATAATTTCTAAATCAAGTCTTGTCTTGAGATTTGTGATATTTTTTGCCATTTGCTGCTTTCACTTCCAGCAGATTTTGCTTGGTAGTACAGATGTCGGTGCGTTTGATAGATCTTTAAAATCCAAAGTGGATATTTGAGATCTAGAAAGCAACATCTCTCCAAAAATCAAAAACAAAACAAAAAGAAAGTGGAGGGAGAGGAGGCGGCGGTGGAAGGAAAGAAAAAGATAGAAGGACAAGAAAAAGGTTTTGGAAAAGAGAATTGATTGTGAAAAAAAAGATAAAATAAGGGTTTTTAAAGGTGAAGAAAAAAATAAAATTTTGAAAAAGAGTTTAAAAAGAAAAATATGGTGAAAAGGGAAGAAAAATTTTGAAAAATGTGAGCAAGCCTGGAAAGAGAGAGAGGCTTGCATCACAGCTGGAATTCAAAAAAGAGAAAAATTTTGAAAAAGACTTGGGAGAAGGGTGCAGAGACTGCACAAATAAAAGAAAAGAAAGAAAAAGAAAGAGAGGGAAGAGGGAGAGATGAAAGTAGAAAAAAAAAATTTAAAAATAAAATTTGAAGAACAAAAAAAAGAGAAGGAAAAAGATGAAACAAAAATGGAGAGAGTGTTGTTACGGAGAAGGTGTATGGTGTAATCCTGAAAAATGCGAGATTTTCACCATATACCTTCTCTACTGCCGAGATTCTCACTATAGACCTTGAATGTCTTTTCTTCTCATTAGGCTTTCTCCATTGCCGTCTATGAAGGTGAGAAAGAAAAATTTCTCAATTGAGGATATTTTTCTTGGTGTTTTTCTCAGACGGTGAGTTTGAAGACTTTTCATATTGAGAGAGTTGTTTGTGATAGGAATGGATTGGAATGTCTTGATTTAAATAGGAGGAGAGGTTGAGAGTGGGGTGGTTCACGGGTTCCATTAAGTGGGTAGTTGGAACGGTGAGAGTAAAAGAGTTTCAACTTCCAAGAAGTTGAATTTTGAAAAGTTGAAGGAATCTTTTATGAGTTACCAAGGTGTTGTAAGTCCAACTGATCCTTTACTGACTGTTCCTTTTGTTGTTGAAAGTTTTCTGGGAAAGGATGTTGTAAGTCCAACTGATCCCTCGCAGGGGCGGACCCACGTTGGGTCACACAGGGTCAATCGACTCCACAGAAATTATTAATTTTTTTAATATGTATTTACAATTTTCTTAGTGTATACCTAAATTTAGTATATATTGTAAAAAAACGTAACGCTACATGTTTCAACTTATACCTACTCAAGGAGTGGAATGCTCCGCGTATGGCATTCGAGTGGAGGCGATCCTGAGTTTGAAACTAGCTGTAGCAATGAATATTTAATATTTTTTGGAAGATGACTACACCCCCAATTTCAAGAACAAATCTTCAAATCTTCCTTTTCTGCTTTGCCAGGTTTTTTTCTTACATAATTGAATTTTATTATCTAAATTGGATATTTCTTTTTTGTAAATTGTGAAAATTTTAATTTATTGTTATAAATTTGTTATTGTGAATAGCAGAATAGGGAATTGAATTCGTTTATTTTTTAAAAAATTGTGATTTGTGAATATGTTAATATAATTAGGTTATGTTTTATGTTTATAATGTTTTTAATTATTTAAATTTTAATATATGATGCAAAGGAATGAGTATATACTCCCTCCGTTCTACAAAACCCTTCCTCTTTCGTTTTTTTTGCTTTCCACAAACACTTCCATTTTCTATTAAAAAACCACTTTTACCCCTACTTTTTCATAACCTACCTATCACATCATATTTTTTCACTAATAACCAAACTATCAGATCTTACTTTTTCCCACCACATCAGGGGCAAAATTGGAAAGTCAACCAAAATTACATTTTCCTTATTTTTCCCCAAAGTCAAAATGGGAATGGTTTTGTGGAACGGAGGGGGTATTATTTTTTGGCAGATGACACCCCCAATTTCTCAAACAAATCTTCATCTTCCATTTCTACTTTAACAGATTTTTTTCTCTTACATTATTGAATCTAATTATTTAAATTGGATATTTATTTTTTTCTTTGTAAATTATGAAAATTTTAATTTATTGTTTTAAATTTGTTATTGTGAATAGCAGAATAGGGAATTGAATTCGTTTATTTTTTTAAGATTGTGATTTGTGAATATGTTAATATAATTAGGTTATGTTTTAAGTTTATAATGTTTTTAATTATTTAAATTTCAATATAGGATGCAAAGGTATTTTAAGAAAACACCAAGATTTAAAAAGAAAGAATTGAGTGAGAATTCAAACATGTATTTCACATTTGCAATGTAGAACTATTTTTAGTTAGTATTTTCAATAACATATATAAACTTTAATGTTATGTATTATAGAATAGTGTTTATTTAGTGCTAGAAGCGTGACGGTTGGATATAAATTTTCTAAATTTCGACCTCACGGTTCAAATGTTCTAGGTCTGCCCATGATCCCGCGCCACCCCTAACTGTCCCTCTACCAACAAGGACTAGCCAGTTTGTTCACCAAATGTTTGAGGAAGCCACTGTACTCCACAGGCCCCCCGGTCCCTTTACTTGAATTTGTCCACACACCCGCCCCCTTAATTGCAGATTCAAATGTCCCTCATGCTTGTGATGCACACAGTATGCTCCAAAAGGATGTACTGGATGGCTCACATGACAATTCACTTAGTGGGGATGATGAAGTTATTTCTAACCCAAACATTCCAACTCAAAACCGATTTGCATTGTTAACTGACCCTATGAATACTGAGATTTCTAAACAGGTCACCCCTTACTCCATCCCGCTCAAAAGCACACCTACACAAGAAAAACCTCATCATGAAATGTGAAGAATGACAACTAGAAAATCAAGACCACCCCTAATTGAAGGCATCATTGTCGACGGTGTGGGCGAACCAAAACTAGAATGTGAGGGATACAACGAGCCATTTCTCTTCCTAAGCCCTCCAGGAGCACCAAGGGAAGATGGCAAAAGACCACGAACAGCAATACCCACTAAATCATCGCCTCATACCATGGTGACCGCTTGGATTTAATTTCGGGCTGCATGCCTTGTTACTTTGTACCCTTTTTCTTTCATTTCTTTACCACTTTTGTGGATTTCATGATGCAAATGGAAAATTCCTGACCTAGCAGGACAGGTAAGATATTCACTTATCATATAATATTTTATGTGGCACCTGTATTTGTAACAGTTCATGTTTTTACTCGTGCATCCTCTTTTTGATTTGATCAATATATACAACGTGTTCAACGTCAAGAATTATACAATGTTCTATTTCATATCAGATAAAAATGTACAACAGATTAAAATAAGGCCAGTATGTTACATCTTACTCATTCACAATAACTGGTGTTCTCTTACTACCATTATGTTCTTCATGTGCTTTTTGAAATACTGTCCAGGAATCATGCTCATTTTTGGAGACAAGTATGTGTTAGTTGGTTTAGTCATTGTGCCAACGCCTTAGAGGGGGGGTGAATAAGGCGTTTGAAAACTTTTCGGAGTTAAATAAAAACGGTGTTGGCAAATGCGGAAGTAATAAGTAAAACGCAAAAATACAAGCATTAAGTAAAAGACACACCGATTTTATACTGGTTCGGGAACTCCCTACTCCAGTACCTCGAGGCTCCTCCTCAATGATTTCCCAATCCACTAAGTTCCGGCCTCTTGAACTCCGTCAAAGCACCGCACTAGTTTAGCAAACAACCCTTGCCAATACGATTCACTCCGAGATTTCAACACGGCTATCTTACAATGAAGATTTAATAGCTATCTTCTACCGCTCCCCCAAGGATTTCAAAGGCTATCCTTGAACCTCTGCCCAAGGATTTATACGGCTATCCTTGACCGTTACAATGTGAGAATTTAACGGCTATTCTCGACCGTAACAATGTGTGTTTGAAGAACACAAAAGAGGATTCTACACAACGACTAGATTATAAAAATGAAGAATAAAACTTAGCCGGTGTAGAAGGAAAGTATACTCTCTCAAAAATACAATTCAAACTTATGAATATGAGAGTATATAACTAGAAACACAAGCTCAAAGTGTGTGTATAAAATTCAGGATCTTAAGGCTCTTAAAATAGCCAAAATAATGAAAATAATTAATAAAAGGATGAGCACACTTAAAATATAAAGGGAGGATGTTTGGAGCTTTTTTTTCTTATTGAAATATGAAGTATTAGGCCTATATTTATAGTGGAAGATGATAATTAGCCGTTAGGAGGTGATTAGAGTTGAATTAATTCAAAAATCAGCAATCAAGAATAGTGTTCTAACGGTAACGGTACCCTGTCACGTTAGCTAGGTCCCGTACGGTAGCTAGGTACCTTCTCAGGCCAAAAACACTCTAGCGGTACCTATACACGGTAGGGGGTCCCGTGATATAGTAGGGGGGTCCCTTCTCAGGCTAACTCACGGTACCTAGGTACCTTATGACAATTTTGGCAATTTTTTCATTTTTGTCCAAATCATTTCTAATTTTGTTTAAAACCTTTTAGATGTTTGAAAATGATTATAAAAGGGTTTTAAACATATTTTGTGAGTGTTTTTGAGCTTGTGAATATAGGTATATAAAATCATATCCTTACATCAGTTTTTACCTAAATTCTACGCTAGTTTAGTGTCTCGATTTCATTCTTGAGAACCGAATCTTAATGGATTCCTGTTGTACCTGAAACACTTAAACAAACGTCAAGCTCATATATTGTTTGTTAACATCAAAACATGAGGCTTAGCAAACCAAGGCTAACAGTATGCTTACTTTAATCTCAAATATAACCTACAGTTGAATACAGCCATAAGAATGGAAAGTCCCTCTACCTTTTTAATCAAGACAACTATGCTTACTTTTATTTCATTGTATATTTATGTCCTTTTTGAGTAACTGGATTGTACTCATTCTTGCTTCTTATTTATAAAATTATGTATGCTTTTGCATGTTTTTCCTTTACAACACTTGCATTTCGTCTTTTATACTAAATCTTAAATTTAAAGGATCAATCACCTTATAATGTTAATGTCTTGCTTTCTATGACTATCTAAACTACTTTTCAATATCAAAATTTCATGCCCATGCTGATAATCTAAATTCACCAACTTCTCTTATTTTGGTTTTAGGCATGTCAATTAAGCAAAAGGTATCAATCCCTTGACATAATGGTGCAACAACATTGCCAAGTAAATGATTACTTAATTAAAAGATAAATGATTTATTGAGGGAATATACTAACATTACAATGCTAATGTACAAGTTTATGGTGTCTTAGACACAAAAAACACAGAGGAACTTACTCACAATACTTTGCAGAATGTGCTTGCACCACATTCCCTCTCATGAATGGCCCATTGCTTATCAACTTACACCCATATAGTGCACAATATATATACTGCAAAAAGTTGAGTAATTAAAACACAAGTTACTATTTGCACAAGTACTTCTTTTCCTCTTGTTTATGTTCCATTCTGTTTGTAGTAAATGAGCATTACCCCTCCGTTAACGATATAAACACCATAAACTTGTCACTTAAAATCAAACAAAAAATTCATGGAGGACACATATGGAGTACTATTTTCTGATCCAAGATTAAACAAAATTAGGTTACAAGCAAATTAATATTACTTTAGTACAAAGTTTCTATCACTCATGATTCTGTATTTAATAGTGTTCTCAGTATATTGAGGTGACCAAACTGGTGAAAGTAGTGATACTGGATAACTAAGAGTACATACAGTGGATGACGCAGTACTTTGGTTTCACACACAAATATGAATTTCAAACTACGTTTGTTATTTACTTCAACTACTATATTTAAAATTGTCATTCAATCCACACTTCTACAAAGAAAAAACATACTACTCATTCTTAATAAGAAATAATGTTGGGCACCATAATCCACGCATCGCGTGGAAGAATGCTAGTATGTGTGTGTGTGTCTGTGTGTGTGTGTGTGTGTGTGTATGTGTGTGTGTATATATATATGTGTGTGTGTGTGTGTGTGTGTGTGTGTGTGTGTGTGTGTGTGTGTGTGTGTGTGTGTGTGTGTGTGTATGGCTTCTCTCACTAAACAACTCTCTGCATACAACTATGGCTTCTCCGCCGTATAACGAAGCTCTGTTCTGGTCCCAATGGCTTCCCAAGTTCCCGGTCTCCTACGCCCAGGTGCCAAAAGCTACGCTGATACCCTCGGATCTCTCTCACTTGGAGCTGGAGGTCCACATCGCCAACGCCCAACAGTCAAAAAAAGCTTCACAGACATCCTGGGATCTCAACCAAGCGATGCCCAGAATAGAATCGGAAGATACAAAGGATTCCTTGCTATCTCCTTCACCCCATATGAGGTAATTTCCCTTTCAATCCCATACCAATTCGCACTTGTGGGTCGTTTCTTGAAATCAAGACCTCCTCTGGAGGTTATCCGTAAAAGCTTCGAGAAAATAGGGTTCAAACCAGGCTTCACGGTTGGATTATTATCCCCGTCCCTTATTCTTATAAATTTTGATTGCCCAATTGATTATCAACGTTGCTTCTCAAGAAGGTTGTGGAATATCAATGGAAGCCAGATGGTGGTGTCCAAATGGACCCCTTCCTTCCATGCTGACACTGAGAGCCCTGTTTTTCCGGTTTGGGTGTCTCTAACCCATCTGCCCATCCATCTTCAAGAAGCTAAGGCATTGCACTCCATTGCGAGCTCCATCGGTCACCCGCTGATGATGGATGCATCTACATCAGCAAAAACTAGACCCTCAATGGCTAGATTCTGCGTCGAGATTGATATCTCTAAAGATCTCCCAAAGAAAATATGGATTGATAATGGCGGGTTGGGTTTCTTCCAACCGGTGACCTACGAAAACCTACCACAATTCTGCATTCAGTGTAAAAAATCCGGCCATTTAGCCGGAAAATGCTCAACTATGGACATTCCCAAGAACGAAGTGTCCAAGAATAACCTACCAAAAACCTGGAACCCCATTTCCAAGAATGAAGTGTCCAAGGATAATCTGTCCAAAAGTGCTGCTGTGATGCTAGAGCCCCTTCCCAATAACCCATGTGAATTGGGTCCCAAACATGACAGTAAACCTTCTTGTGATACGATGCCAAACACTGCAGGTCAAACGAAGTTAGAGGTAGACCATGTTGTCCCAGATTTTTCCCCAGAGCCTAAGGGAGATGAACTTGCACCTCTAGAAGCTACGGAGATTAACCTCACTACCTTTTGTAAAGAGGACAATCCCAAAACTCAAGCTCTAAATGTTCAAAGTGATGCTCAAACTGATAGCCACAATGACGTGCTGCATCTGGAAAAAATCAGCATGAAGTAATGTTTGATACCAACACTGGAGCCGTTGCTAATCATGATGAAGTGTGTGTGCCCACTGATGCTACTGTTTTAGATAAACTAGATGAGCAATTAGAAACTGAAATGGAAAATCTGACTACGAAAGCAGATCTGGAACATACACAAGAACAATCAAATGAGGAAAGCATGAATGATATGATTGCACAAAATGTTAACTGTGTAGGAAATACAATCAACCTGGAAGAATTTCCAGTACTCACAAGGCAAAATATCGAAGAGGATGTACACACTCGAACCGAGAATGTAGAGGCGGCTGTACCCACTCCAACCGAGATAGAGAAGGATGACACAACTGGGATTCTAACTCTGATTGCTGAAGATACAACAAAGGAAACAATCCCAAATAATTCAGATGGCAGCACAGGACAAATCCTCCACTCCTTTGAGCTTGAAGGTCAACATTATGAAGTTAGGTCCTACATTGAGGAAGGACAAACGTCAAACCACAATGAAAAAAACTTCACAACTCATGAATTCCAAGAAGTCCAAAATAGAAGAGGTAAAAAGAAGCAAGCTATGCCAAGGACCATCAAAACCAGAAGCTATGATCCTAATCTCGAAGTCGGGACTGTGAGCGAGATCACGAGATACTGGCCCAGTCGCAAATCCACTACATTGGAGAAAATAGTTACTACCAAAAGTTATTCTGGCCCCTTTTGGTACGTTGGGCCCGTTGGTCCAATTGGCACTGACGGGAAAAGACCGAAGAAAATAATGCCCAGAAATCTCTCCCTCGATCAACACCCCGGTTTTATAATCTGGGAATGATCTTTTTTCATTTTGATTTCTTTCAATTTCCCTTTTACAATTGTTTTTCCTTTCTCGCAATTTTTGAGGGGCATTGGCTTAGTCCTCCCTTCTTTGTACTTTCCTTTACTTTGCATTTAATAAAATATCTCCTTTAATATATATATATATATATATATATATATATATATATATATATATATATATATATATATATATATATATATATATATATATATGTATGTATATATATATATATATATATATATGTATATATATATATATATATATATATATATATATATATATATATATATATATATATATATATATATATATATATATATATATATATATATATATATATGGCAAAGAAATTAGGTTTTATTAATGAAAACGGAACGAGGGGATACAATCATGGTACAAAATATTTTTAACAACATCAGGGCAAAGGTTGATATGCCAGTATTCCTTGAGAGGGGAATCTAAAGTCCTGTCCACCTTTGCGAGACCATCTGCAGCAGAGTTCCCTTCCCGTAAAATGTGAGAAACTTGAATTCCATTTTGAAGGATGACTTGACCCAAAACGTCAATTGGGAAAGAGGAAACTGAATTTTTTTTGAACAATGAAATCCTGGAAATAATAGACTTAGCATCAGTCTCATAAATCAGAGAATTGGAAATTAAAAGGGCCCATCTGATTGCTTTAATAGAGGCATCCACTTCAGCTTGGTAGGCACTCCTAGAGTGTAGTTTGGAGGCCCCACGGACCAGTCTTCCTTCTGCATCTCTTAATATAGCTGCACCTCTTTGATGTGTTGTGGTATAGGAGGCATCAACATTGAGTTTAAGCCTACCCATAGGAGGTGCCTTCCATTTAACCATGAGAACGTAGTTGTGAAATGTGAACCTGGGTATAAGATTATGTGAGAATAACCAGGAGTCAAAATGTTGAAGTTTGCGGGGAGTCTTGATGGACAACCATTGTTTGGTATACGAATCAATCTGATGAATAAAACTTAAAGTGCTAAAATGAGAACATTTCCCATAAATGATCTCATTCATCTTTTTCCAGATGAGCCACGTGATTATCCCTGGCAGATGTTTACGCAGTAGCCCATAAAGGTTAGGAGTGTCCCTCAACCACTAGTTCATAAAGTGTTGGTTGATAGTAGAAGATTCTGTGTGGAGGAAGTTTAAGCATCTAGCATAATGTCTCCAAATATCCACGATCTTAGCACAATCAATCAGGGAATGTTTTGCTGTGAGGCTTGAATTCATGCAGAAAGGACAAAAGATGCTGATTTTGGACTTTTGTGGGGATTCCCAAATATTATGAAACGCAAGAGAACGGCTAGAATTAGTCCTGCAAACCTCATAAGCACTCTTTAGGGTGAACTGCCCAGATGGGTCCTCATTCCAAATAAATGCTTCCTCCTCGGTAGTATGGCAGTGATTGAGAGCTTTGACATTAATCCTTGTGACATTCCATCTCTCCCCGCCTATGATATTTGGCCCTCATGAATCTCCCCCAGAGGCTGTTATTATGTTGATATTTCCACCATAATTTGAGAGTAAAGGCCTCCTCCAAGGATTGGAAGTCTCTAGTGCCAATACCACCTTCCTCTTTTGGTAAAGAAAGAGATTCCCACTTCAGCCAATGATGCTTCTTCTGGCCACAACCCCACCAGAACCTTGCCATCTTTTGATGAAGAAGGTTGATGATGGATTTAGGAACAGTGTTTGCAGCCAAAAAGTAGTTAGGAATGGTATTGAGGACATGATTAATAAGGATTAATCTTTCTGCCTGATCTAAGTTTTTTTGATACCATCCATTGAGTTTCTTGTCAAAGGAAGAAATGAGAAGTGTACAATGGTGTTTCCTTGTGATGCCAGAGTGGATAGGGCTACCCAGGTAGGTAAAAGGGAGCTTTCTGTGTGGCATGGTCAGGAGTTGTTCGAGCTTCCTAATTCTCATAGTATTGAACTTCTTCCCAACCATGAAGCTGCTCTTAGAGGAGTTAATAGTCTGACCAGAGACCTGTTGATATTTGGCCAAGAATGTCTTCAAATTGGAAATAGATCTGAGATGAGCATTGGTGAAGATAATGAGGTCATTCGCATAAGCCAAGTGGGTGACAGGGATGCTGTTTCTGCCACAGTTGAATCTACCCAAAGAACCAGTGTGGAACAGTTTATTAATGTTCCTTGAGAAACCTTCATTAGCAATAATAAAGAGAAGGGGGGATAAGGGGTCACCTTGTTTGATTCCTCTAGATTGGCCAAAGAAACCACAAGGTTTCCCATTGAAAAGAATGGAGTATTTAGAGGAATGAAGGAGGTTTTTTATCATAATTAAGAACTGGTGACAGAAACCAAATCTGTGGAGTATATCCAAGAGATAAGACCACTTTAACTTATCGAAGGATTTGGCCATGTCAAGCTTGAGGATAATGTTGCCACCCCCAGCTTTTCTATCAATTTTATGTGCCATTTCTTTTGTGAGAAGAATCTGCTCCATGATATCCCTACCAGCCACAAATGCCCCTTGTTCATCAGAGATGATCAAAGGAAACACCTTGCTAAGTCTCTTGGCAATGCATTTTGTTGCAATTTTAGAGGCAACAGTTGATAAACACACAGGCCTAAAATCATTCAGTCTAGATGCATTATCACATTTGGGAATAAGACAAATATTGGTGCTTGCAGCAGCCACGGGGAGTGGAATGCCCAAGAAGACTTCTTGACAGGCAGAAGTTACCTCTCTCTTAACTATATCCTAGCATTCCTTAAAGAAATTCACATTAAAACCATCTGGACCAGCACAAGAGTTAGACTCCATGTCAAAAAGGATGGCTTTGATCTCATCTTCAGAGAATAAAAGCATCAGTTCTTGATTATGATGATGATCTAAAATTTTAGGGATGTTTGCCAGGAAGCCATCATAATCTACTGTAGAGGGATTCAGTTCAACAGAATTGAACAGGTTATGGTAGTAGGAAGTAACCATATCTTCTAAAATTGTTGAATCTTCTTGAAACTTCCCTTGCTCATCCTTTAAGGAGTTGATTTTTTGCTGCCTTCTTCTTTCCATGACCAAATTATGAAAAAATCTGGTATTGGCATCACCTTCTTTAAGCCATTTGAGATTACATTTTTGTTTCCAGTAGCTATGTTTCAAGTTCCCCACCTGTAAAAGATGAGCTTTTTTAAGATTAACTATCTCTCGATTGGTATCTGAAGGATCTTTCTCAAAGTTAATCTCAGCTGAAGAGGCCTCATCTTCAGCTTCTTTCACCAGGTCAAAAATGTTACCAAAGTGTTCTTTATTCTAGGAGACTATTTTGGATTTGAGGTGATTGAGTTTATGAAAAAGGCATCTCATTCCTCCATCGTATGGGATTTCTGCCCACCAATCTTTGCAGAGATTTTTGAAGTCTTTATTAAGGAGCCACATGTTTTGGAACCTGAAGGATTTTGGGGTTGTAATTGTGGATGATTTGGAGGAGATTATGAGAGGAGAATGATCACTGCCTTGTTTTGAAAGATGTTTCATTGAGATGTCTGACCAATGATTGCTCCATCTTTCATTGAAAAAAGCCCGGTCCAATCTCCTCCACACTTTGCCATTACTTCTAGTTCCATGCTAGGTAAAAATGGGTCTAGTGAAATCGCTTTCCAGCAGATTACAATCTTTAATGCATGAGTTAAAATCTTCCACCCCTTCTAACTCAGGCAGCCTTTTCCCTTGGTGATGAAGGATATCTGAAATGGCATTGAAGTCTCCCCCCCAATAACCAAGGAAGAGCATTGGAGTTATTAAAAGATCTGATATCTTCCCAAAGGTTTTTCCTACTTAGCACCAAGTGTCCCCCATACACTCCACTAAGGACAAAGGTAGAATCATCTTGAATACCCTTCATGGTGAAATGAGAGATCTGATTTCTTTCTAGCAGATTCAAGAGAAAATAGTTTTCTTTGTTCCAAAAAAATCAGATTTTGTTATTGCAAGTACTAAGAAAGCAAGTAAGACCCAAGGAGAAACCAATGTCTGGTCCTTTAGAAGAAGCCAGCATGGGTTCAAGAGCAAAAATAAAGTCTAGAGAGTGGTGCTTATTCAAAAGGGATAATCTCTTGCACCGTTGAGACACACCCCTTACATTCCAAAAGAGGGAATTAATCATTGAAGGGTTAGGAAAACCCCATTACCAGATTTCTTGAAATCTGATCTTGTACGAATCCTTGAAAAATTAAAATGGGTACCAGATGGAGAAGAAGGAGCTGAGGAGGAGATTGTCGTGAGGGG